GCTCCATAAAACCCTGTTCACCTTTGCGTGATAGGCATCCATATAATCAGATTTAAAAACAGATGCTAGTAAATAATTTCACTCCATTGCTGTACACATGGCTAACGAAGTAACAAACCGTTTGGTTTTGTTTGTACACCTTCCAAGTTACTAGACCTATTGCTTAACTTGGTTTAGGAAAACTTAGCGCAACTTTTGGTAGATTGTCAATCGCAATACGATTAGACAGCTGCACATTTATCACTGCTACTGCTTGTTGTTACCAGCCGAGGCACTTTAATTTAGTGTTTTTTTTTATAGAAAAGGGGGCAAACGAGCATACGGTTCACCCGATGTTAAGTGATTACCGCCGCCCATGATCAACCGCAACACCAGGGGAATTGCAGGTGCGTTACCGTCCCTTTAGAAAGGTGGAAGCTCTTTTCTCGAAGGTCTCTAGGTCGTAGCGGAGAAATCGCCGGTGGTAAACTATTCCACAGAGAGGTCGTACGCGGAAGAAAACTCCTTGTGAAACGTACAGTGGTGGACCGCCAAGCATCCAGATAATGTGGATGGTATCAGGACGTTTTCCGCGTAGTGCGTTCACGAAATTTGGCGGCTGGGATTAATCCGAACAATTGCTCAAAGCACTGCCCGTGGTATATGCGAAAGAAAATGCAAAGAGATGAAACATCGTCGTCGACGATTCAAGCCGCTCTGCGCTGGATGCGGTCAAGTGGAAGGAGATGGCACTGGGCAGCCCCAGCCCAGAGATGGGAACAGTGTACCATGTGCGGCCGAACCTGCGCTTTGTAAAGTTGCAAGTGGTGTGCCGGCATGAAATACTGTCCCGCTCTGCTGAGCACGCCAAGTTTTTTAGAGGCCAATTTGGTCTTCTGTTCCAAGTGACCACGAAACTGTACGTCACTAGAATTCTCGACGCCGAGGATTCCGATACTGGCTGACGCAACAAGGGGAGCGCCTTGGAACTGAGGAGATACGACAAAGGGGTTCTTTTTAGCGGTTAACGCGCAAACTTGTATCTATTGAGGATTAAACTGGACTAGATTCAGTCGCCCCCAATCCGAGACTTTGTTCAGCAAAGACTCGACTTCAGACACAAGTTTGTTCCGGTACTCGGAGACGTTTTCCCGTATGCCAGTGCCATCATCTGTCAATTAATGTTACAGGTATGCAACATATCATTGATATGCAGAAGAAACAGCGTTGGCGATAGACCGCAGCCTTGGTGTTTTAGAAAAATGTTCCTATATTTCTTAGTGGTCATGACATCATTTTGAATTTTCCTGCAGCCAATTTTTTAACACTCTCGGAATTAAATATCTGCAGCTATATCATAATTATAGCACGTATTGGTCGGCTCCACCAGAGAATGACCACTCTCTCACCAGAATACCGACGTAAAATAACAGCTTAATGTTGTTTTGTTTTAAATGGTAAGTGTAGAGAGCGGGAGACACTTTTTAATGGAAATGAGGCATTTCATCCTAGTAACCAAGGCTCACATCTGCATTTTAATTCTTAATCGGGGATAAATGTTGATGTTTACGGGCCACAGAATCCGCTTGCTTATCTTTAGTCGGACTGTGTGCTCATTTGTTACCATTGTTAAAATTATAATAATAATAATAATGTCCTCCAGACCGAATTTCGGTCACGGTGGCCTGCCTCAACGGAGGCTAGCCATCGGCGCAGGACAGGATTATAGTACCTAAGTGTATGCGCAAGCACAGGTGCACTCTCTATTCCCTCACTCTCATAATCAGATGGGACGGTAAACCGACACGACCGGAGAGAGATCAGGCGCAGGACCAACGGCTTTACGTGCTTTCCGAGGCTCGGGGGTGAGACAGCGCCAACTTCCTGACTCCGGGCAGCTACTGAGAATTTCTTGACGAAAACTCAATAATTGATTTTTTGGCCCGACCCGAGATTCGAACCCAGGACTTCATGATCAGCAGTCGCACTACTACAACCACTAGACCAACAAGGAAGTACCACCATTGTTATATAAACTATTAAGTTCCCTTAGACGATTTATTTTACGTAGCTCTGTCTCCGCTAGCCATATCGTGTTCGATTGCCGTATATTAACCCTTAGACAGCTGTGGTAGCTTAGCAGCTACAAGTATTCACCACTGCACGTTCCACTAGGAGTTTTCTTCAACGGACCTGAGGACCTTCAAAAAAAACTTACTCCTTTCTAAGGGGCCGGCAACGCACCTGCAATTCCCCTGGTGTTGCGGTTGATCATGGGCGGCGGTAGTCACTTAACATCAGGTGAGCCGTCTGCTTGTTTGCCCCCTCTTCTATAAAAAAAAGTTAACACCGGTCGCTAATTTCAAAGTACTGAAATTACAGTACAGTAATGAAATTGCTAAATATAGACGAATACAGCTTCTAACCTAGCATAAAGTGCTCTTACGTGGAGTTTTGGTGGGTTATTCCTTTTATACTCTAAAAAATCCACCTAAGGGTGAATACTCGGAGACAAGTGTTCATCTATATAATAAGGATAATCGGTTCAACACATACACTTAAACAGTTTCACTGTCTGGTTTTCAGACACAATAGTAAGACAGCAAAGAACTACATGTTAAATACACGGGACTGCGAAAGGGTTAATTATTTATTAATTTTTAATAACCACAAACATAATCAATAACCATATTAAACATAAAGCGTATTGCCATTAACGTTCAAGCCTAATCAAGTTATAAAAACCTAAACCTTTTATCCTAAGACCTTTTAGGCTGTTCGACGTTGTAAATACGACGTTCGACGTTGTTTTATAATAGATTGTTCGACTGTGTGACGACGTTCGAATTAAACTTCTTCGTTTTAAATAATATTATTACATAATTTATGAATTCTGCAATATGTACAGGCAATTACCAACACTAATTTCATTATTAAGTAGGATACCTGGATAAATTCATCACTTTTAATGTACATTTGCAATCGTTTTCTATATTATTATTTCTTTGCTACAACAGATGTGTTAGCGAGGAACTGGGCGTTTTTTGCAAGCATTACAAAAACGTTACTATTGGATGTTTGTCTTTAACATGACTTTTTTTTAATGGTAAGATTTCTGATTTTTGTAATTCTGTGAGGTACTTCTTTTATTTTAGCGTTAAACCTTTCAAACAAGAAGAAGGTATATATATTTTATAGGTAATTTTGTCTACTAAGTATCATGGGCCAGTTTTTATCATGTTTCTATAAATGACTATACACAGCTGAGGAAGGAAATTGGAAGAAAAATAATATAATATACGAATTCCGATCATCCACCCTAGTGTGAATTTTTTAGGATGGATAAATGGAATGGTTCTGATACCACATAGGAGTTTGTACTGACTGTTCGATAATTTGTAATGATAATGATTTGGTTGAAAAATTAGTTGGCCCCGAGACCAGGCGTATGTAGCCACATTCTCGGTATTATACTACCGGCTAATTTTTAAATTGTTTGCATGTGTTACAGTAAAAACACCCACCTAAACTTCTGTTTATATTATGATTATGATGAGTGACATCGCATACTTATCAATCACCAGAATTTTGTATGCTTATGAATTAAGACGAATGAAAAACATGGAGTCTGCGTATTCACTGAACTTAATAACACGCACTCACGCACACATATGGACCGAAAATTATCTACTACTAACAATGTGGTTTGTTTGCCCTGGCTCTGTAATATCCGGAAATGGACCGGGATAAATAAAGTCGAAGATCTGTTCAGGCTGGCCCTGAACAGAGAAGAATTTAGGAGGATGACTGCCGACCTTCAGTAATGGAGTGGCACTTAAAGAAGAAGAAGAACACGTGTTTTTAGGAGCATATGTGCCCAGCAGTGGCGTTTCACAGGTTGTTACAGAACGAAAAAAAAATGTGCGTGAGTGTATGTCTGCACTTGAAATGTACGTGGTATTTTGTCCTTATGACACACTAAACTTCTGCAAGTTTTATTTTCATCGATATAAATGACAAGATATGGTCGCGCGTACAATTTTTCACGGTTTAAGCATAGAATAAATCAGCTGAACTACCACGGAACTAGTGTTTCCAATTATGATTTTGATTACCCTAGAACCTGTAGAAATACTTTCTAAACTATCGGAAAAAATATGCCATCAAAAACATAACTTGTAAAAAAAACAAAGTCTCGCAACTCAGTTCTTCTACCGAAAAAAGTTGTGAGCTCCATGTAATACCAAGTCGGTTAATTTATTCAGTCCCTAGCCTGAGCTGCGAGACTTGTTTTTTTTTACAAATTATTTTTTTGATGGCATCTCATTACTTTTTGTAGATAAGATAGTCCTACTTTTTTACCTTTCCGGTACCTTCTACTTCTTGAATACAAACAACGTACCTATCTACACCTATTATACATATACAAGTACACTGATTCATTCACTGCAAATGTAATTTTGGTAATTCTATATATTTATATGATATTACAAAGTTATTTATGCAGTTGGTTTATCTAGAAAACTGGACCGAAATTAAAAAAAATATTTTAGTTTTTCCGTAATTTATACACTAAACTCTAATTGTATTCTAAATTTGAAGCTTCTATGTCTGCTAGAAGTGCCTTAGAGTTTTGATGATCGGTCAGTCAGTGAGTGACAAAATTAAGAATCTTTGACTAGTTATAATTCTTAAACAACTAAAATTAAAGTTCAAATTTAATGCAATTTGAAATATACCATGTTTATACAATGCCTACTTGGTTACTCAGGCTTCTAGTTATATCCACTACGAAGTTATAGGGGGTCGAAAATGGCCTTAATTGCTATGAGAAAAGTATGGTACAATCGGGCCGCTTTTTTGCTCGACTTAGCGATCAGATCAAAATAGCCTTATTTACACCTAATTTTTAGCATCTGATTTTCAATAATTTTGTTGGTTCAATGACGTGGTCCATACGCAGTAGTATAATAGGTCTACGTTTATTTTCTAAATTATACAATTAACTTAAAAAATCTTACCGAAGAGTGACCTTCTTTGAGTGAGAGTAATAATTGAGTTCGGCGCATTGGGGTAAGCAGGAACATTTGGCCAATTTTTTAGGCAAATTGATGAGAATCTCAACGTGCCGCCCGATGCACGCCATCCCGTGCGCATCACACACTTCGCCATCTTGTTGAAATCAAAACAAAATGGTCGTTGATCGGATTAAACTATTTTTTGTCGGTTTTTTAGTACGAAAACACTTTTCCAATACTTCGAATTAGCACGAATAAAATTTTCCTACCGAATGTTTGTAATAAAACTGTTTGGCCGTCAGAATATATGACATTTGACAACTTTATTTTTAAAATCGTTTAAAGCGTTTCAAAAAGGTTAATATTGATTGGAAAAGTTACATCGTAGTATACACAACTAGGTATTTTTATTATATATCTATAGAACGTGACAAAGAAGCACACAGTCCACTGATAGTGAGAAGGTGCTATGGCCCATAGATACCTACATCTATCATTGATTAAGAATCAAAATTTAGATGCGCTTACATCCTTGTGGACTAAGGTAGAATGCCTCGTTACCAGTTATAAGTGTTCACTACACTCGCCATAAGAAACACAGCAGTAATAAGCAGGTATAATAGCGTAAAGCGTTGCAGCTTAATGTTACTGTGGTACGTCACGTGGTCAGCTCGCGTGCGACGTGTAGCTCCTCAATAAATGCGAGTGAAGACCTGGTAAATCATGCAGGAAATCTATGGATGTAAGTGGCTCAAGACCATTGAAGTAATATGTACTTACGTACTAGAACAGCTATTTCAAACAAAAAATGTGCGCTACTCTGTGTTTGCGCGGTTTGTTTTCTTATCATAGAATAAACATAGGTAGAATGATCAGTAGGTAATAAAAGATTGTACTGTTAAATATGTAAATTATATCGAGAACAATTTTTTTAAATTTTGTCATTTATTTTGTATATTATATTTGCTTATTTAATATAATACTACATAATATTATATCACAATTAATTTTTAATTATATTTTTACCTTAATATTTTAAAAGGTATCTATCTCAAATATAAAAAACATACTAAATGTATGTTTAACAAAACTTATTAATATAACATTTAAATTACAAATATATTTATTTAAATTAAAATAAGAGTCGTTCATAAATACTGGGCACGCAAGAGTTAAAAATTGACGAATTTATTCCACTTTGACTTTGATGTGGAAACCTAAAAATAAAATATAAGAATAATTAGCAGATTTAAATATAAAAAATTGGCCTAATTATGATAACTCATATATGTTTCTACAAAAAAATGTGTATAATAATATATTCGTCCTATATTTAAGTACCCACAGAAATGTCGCATCTGAACAAATTAAATTTCATAATCTATATTACGTGACACAAAATGGCGTCTTAGGAATAATTTGTTTTATTACTAATTTATAATATACTTTGTTTTTTTTTTTTTTTTATATATTAATTTATTGATGAAGTATCTTATTAACCAATGAAAAGTTTCTTTGGTTTTTACTGACATTTCTTGAATTATTTGTGCAATATCTAAGTACGCACGACGGCATATTTTTATCACGAGATTTTTTTTTAAAACAACACAACACATGTCAACTCTACAAGCGCCTAGCGAGTGACTGATTAAAGTGCAGTGTATGCACCGCAGTTGAATAGAACATAGTAGCTGAATGCAATGTCGCCTCTAGTACGTAGTACATAATAGCTCAATGCTCAAGACCATATTTTGAGACCTTCGTTGAGAGAGGCCTAATATGGTCAGCGGTTGGTTTGTGAAGGACAAAAAATGATAACGATAATGAAGATGATTAATTGATATAAACCTCACCTCCTTTATTAAAAAAGTACGGTCGACACCCACAAAACATTACTGCCATCCGATTGCGACAATTCATCTGACAAAGTCCAAAACTGTACGACTGTAAATAAACGGTGTATGTAATTTCTGACGCGCAAATGTAGTTTTTTTATGTAAGAGGGGGCAAAGGACCATGCACCTCATCTAGTGGTAAGTGACTACCAGCCAGTCAGCATTTAAAAAAAAGTATAGGCTCTTTCCTTGAAGAGCCCTAAGTCGTATCGATCTGGAAAAATTGCTAGTCAACTCTGTTGTATTCTGATTTACCTAATACATAAAATTTGAAAATGTCGGGATTTGGGGCTTGTTGTCGGGAAATATACATTTAAAAAAAAGTAAAATAAAAAGTTATTTTTAAATTAATAGGCTAGAATAAGACTTAACATTGTTGACACATAACTACCCTTAATTTCAGTACACTTAATGTTTAGATTGCCACATGTATTTCGCATTGAACTTTACTGAGTCATAGAGCCACCAATTTGGATCTTTTAGTAGTATTCAGTAAAGATTTAAAATTCAAACAATTCATATTGAACTTTGTGATCGATGGCGTGCCCAAAACATTGCGTCGCGTGCCATCGATGGCACGCGTGCCATTGGTTCGCCATCCCTATACTATATAAAAAAAGATATTTATATGAAAATTAAATCGGTGTATAATCGATACTGATACATATTTCACACAACACAACTAAAACCAAAGATAAACATCAAAACGAAGCCCACCATTCACTACAGAGTTATAATTCTGCTGATGTGAGATTCCTTCAAGGAATAGAAGATTATTACTATTATTATTGCCTATATATATACCTTGATAGTCAAGTCAACCAATTTATTCTTTATAATGAACTATAGAATAAGGTAAATGGCGCTACTGCTTTAGAAGCGTTCAGTATAAGATTCGTGAACGTGTTGTGCGAAGGGGCAAAAGACGTCTTCACTTTTTTGTTGATACTCGATTTTGCTCGAGCATGCGGTTCACCTGATGGTAAGTGACTACCGCCGCCCATGATCAACTGCAACATCTGAGGAATTGCAGATGCGTTGCCGGCCTACTCTTTACTAGAAGGTCCCTAAGTCGTATCGGTCCGGAAAAATCTCTGGTGGTAGTCGATTCCACAAGGAAGTTGTGTAAGGAAGAAAAGTTAAAAAAAAGACGCTGAGGATTCTGATACTGGCTGAGGCAACAAGAGGAGTAACTGAAAACTGAGGGGATACGACAAAAGGGTTCTTTTTAGCGGTAAATGCGTACACCAGTGTCTTCTGGGGATTAAACAGGATAAGATTTACTCGCCCCCAATTCGAGACTTAGTTCAACAATCTCTCGACTTAAGATGAAGGTTTGTACCGGAAATGTTGGTGCGACCGACGTATAAAGCATCACCAGCCGAAGAGCACACCTGCATCTAGGACAAAAAGAGCAAGGCCGGATTCGCCGTCTGCAGATGGTAGTGGACGGCGTTAAGGTTCGAGTGAAGTCCCCTGATGTTGCAGAAGTCCACGGTTAGCGTGCAGGGGTCGCCATGGTTTTATCACTCTGTTTGCCCCGTGCAGTGTTATTAATGAGAGGGATTTTGCCCCCCACCCCCAGAATACGCGGGCACTGTAAGCACTCATGCTAAGGAAGAGAGTTACCATCGGCGTGGATGCTTTTTATACTACGTTACTAGTGGGGGTGACGGGGATGAGGTTGGGGCCTTCGGTCACCTGCACTACTTTTTTATAGAATAAGGGTGAGAAACGAGCACACAGTCCACCTGATGGTAAGTGGATGCTGTGGCCTACAGACATCTACATTTATCCTCGATTAAGAATCAAAACGCAGATGGATTGTCAACCCTGAGGACTAAGGTGGAATGCCTCGTTTGCAGCTAAAATGGTCTCCGGATCTCTACACTCACTACGAAACACAGCAGTATTAAGCTGGTATTCTGTAAGGTCATGATACTTACCCGGTTCAAGCCGGCCCATCAGTGCAACAGCTAAAGCTACCGCGTGGCTCTACCACTGTTAAGTAAACTTCAAAAATTGGATTTCCTAGCCAGGTGGTCATGTGTTTTAAATTGGATATCTCAATCACATTATGGAGTCTTTTCGGAAAGAAAACTAACATAGGGTTAAGAGAACTGGGGCTACTAATTTGAAATCATCGGATCCTTTTACCAAACCTAATCTATGAATGATCTCGTACATTCATGAAATAAACATACATTAAGACTAAAGAGTACAACTAAAAAGGTGTAAAATTTTATTTCGTAGGTGTCGTAAGAGTGACAGTGGAAACTAAACTAGGGTATGGGCGGCAGCATGTTACTGGTAAAAAAAAACTACTGTTACCATTATAATTATATACCAATATATTACAGGCATCTCAGGTATATGAACTAATGTTATTTAATTTGTTACCTAATTTTACTTACACATATACAACATGTAACAAAAACCCTGTGGTTCCCGTTAACTGCGTTATGAGAATCGGTATCCAAGCATATGGAAATAATTTTTTTTTTCAAAAAAACGCATTTAAAAAAATTAATTTCAATGAAAAGATTTTAATTTGCAAATTTTATGTGATTTTATTATCTTTGCATTGGCCGAGGAGTAAGAGGATTGTCAAAGACCCCGCATTACCGATACTCGTGTGAGTTAGAGGAAATAAAACCCTATACAATTTGCAAAATAATTTTTTTTCAATAAAAAAAATTAAATGCGTTTTTTGAAAAAAAAAATGTTTCTATACGCTTGGCTACTGATTCTGATAACACACTTAACGGGAACCAGAGGTTTTTTGTTACATATTGTATTTAAGACTTTTTCTTTGTATTTTTAACAAATTAATTATATAATATAATTATAGTATGTTTTGTTCGTGATTTTGTTAATTATATAATTAAATCGGTTATGGTGTATGTAACGGTGAGAACGATTTATGTTATTTTATTATTATTGAATTATTATTTTATTTTGGGTATTATTAGAAATATTTACCACATTTGATATAATTAATATTAGTAATGATTTATAATTTTAGTATTAATAATAATTGTTGCCGACGGCGAAGATTATCGTCCGTCGCCCCGCACCGCACCCACGTCGACACGTCCCCCGCGTCCCGCATTAGACTGGGCCACGCGAGGACAGACACTCTCACCAACTGTAGACGCACACCTATGCAATATAAGAAGCGGATGAAACGATTTCTCTATACGACCGCCCAATCCCCTGAGAAAAATCGGCCAAATATCTAGGCGTCACGTTCGACTCCCGCATGAGTTTCGCGACGCACATAAGTGTAGTACGCAACAGAGCCAAGTCAATAATTGGCCGTCTACACCCGCTCGTTAACAGCAAGAGTAAGTTGTCGCTAAGACACAAACTCCGACTGTACAAAACCTGCATTAGACCAATTATGTCCTATGCAAGTGGAGCTTTCGCCCACACGTATAAGACCCACATTGTAAAACTCCAAAGAGTCCAAAACTTTTTCATCCGAAAAGCCACCGGTGCGCGGTGGTATCAACGGAACTCCGATTTGCACAATGATTGTGAATTACCCTCTATCTCCGAATATTTCAAGGAGATGTCAAAACCCTACTTTGATAGAGTAGGAACCCACCCCAATCCGCTAGTGACAAACGCAGGTAACTACGTTCCGATAACAAACGTCGCGCCCTATCTCCGTAGACCGCGAAATGTATTAATAGAGCCACCTCAACCGCTCGATCCAGTCGACCCAAACGTCGCAGGCACATCACACAACGACACTACACCCACACTAAATGGGACAAACATTACTAGGATAACGAATGGTGCGCGTCGCACCCGCAGACCGGCACGACGCGTTCCAGCTCACACCGCCCAGACCATCGACCGACACGAACTGAGCAGTCAGAGACGGGGGTCCGCACTCCCCTCCTCGGACTGCGGTTAGATAGCTCAAAAAACGCCTAAAAAGGCGACATGATGATTGGTAACAATACCAAATCATAAACCATTCATCATCATTCTCACCTCATTGCCTTTCCCTTTTTAATTAGTTGCAAGGCCGCGAGCCCTGAGTCAGATGAAGCTGTAAGAGTCGCATAGACTAACAGCGCTAACATCCAGAAACTTGACTAGGCTTCACTAGTATACTCATGAATAAATAAATATATACAGTCCACTTTGCTCTCATGCCCTACAATAATAATAATAATGTCCTCTAGACCGAATTCCGGTCCCGGTGGCCTGCCTCAACGGAGGCCAGCCATCGGCGCAGGACAGGATGATAGTGCCCAAATGTATGCGCAAGCACAGGTGCACCCTCACTCTCATAATCCGATGGGACGGTAAACTGACATGACCGGAGAGAGATCAGGCGCAGGACCAACGGCTTTACGTGCTTTCCGAAGCTCGGGGGGTGAGACACCGCCAACTTCCTGACTCCGGGCAGCTACTGAGAATTTCTTGACGGAAACTCTCAATAATTAATTTTTTGGCCCGACCCAGGATTCGAAACCAGGACCTCATGATCAGCAGTCGCGCTACTACAACCACTAGACCAACGAGGCTGTCGAAACGAGGCAATTTTAGTATTAGAATAGATTTGAATGAATGTAATTTTACCCCATGATCCTTGTTGAATGAAATAAATGAATAAATGAATAAAATAAATTATAATCTATGAAGTCTACTGCCGAAAATAGGCCTCCCATACAGATTGCCTCTAATTGCGGGATATTTGGCCATAACTACCACACTTGTCAGGCGGGTTGGCGCCCTCATTATTTTACCCGACCTCAAAAAAAGGAGGAGGAACTCAATTCGACTATTTTTTTCTGTTCAAATCGATTTTGATGATTATTTTTTAATAAAGATATTAATAGTTACTTTGCAACAATCCGAGCATCCATCAGAGCCGTGGTAGCTCAGATGGTTAGCGCTCACTATAAATTTCACAGTACGCGAGCAAACCGGGTTCGATCCCCGCCGGCACCAATGAAATTGTTAATTGCAATTTTAAGTGCTTATTTACCACGTGATCTGCGATGAAGGAAAACATCGTGAGGAAACCTG